GCCAAGAGCACTATTATTACTACGTACGGACAACGGTCCCTCACCTTAGACCTCGGATTTCACTGTCGCTTCCAATGAGTTTACATTCAGGCTAACGTCCAGTCACCTATCACTGGAACTGAATTTCCGTCGCACTTTGGCCTTGCGGTTGATTTGAAGCATCAAAAACTTATTGATTCCACTTCAAAACGTTTCGCCCTCGGAATTGGCGCACGTGAACCTTCAGCTGGCATACACCTGGCCGTCCCAAGCCCACCGTTGTCAGAAATATTGAGGGAATACCCGTCTCTCGCTAAGCCAAGTCCGTGCAATGTACAGGTTCGGCACGCAGTCCGTCATCAGATTGCCACTACTGGACGCTCAGTCCATGCTCACCCGCACCGACCTCACCCTGAGTAGTTTCGGATTTCAAAGAAAGAATTCGAACATATGTTGAATTTGTGGATACTCCGGCCTTTGTCTAGTTCATGGGCTTCTCCCCTGCATATGGTGCCCAAGAAAGCATCCTATGATTGGAGACCATGCGGTGATTGCCGCGCTCTGAACAGAGCCACCATATAAAAAGATAAATAAATTGTATATTTAAGGCCAAAGGGACACTTTCATTACAAACTTAGTGCTGTCGTAGAAATAAATACAAAGTTGGCAACCACGGCTGCGAGTAAGCAACTATATTATTATTATTATTATTATTATTATTATTCAGAAGGAGAAAATAGTTTACTAGTGAAAACTATCTGAAGGTTTTCAATCTTACTACGGCTAGTCACGTTCATAAGACCAAAAATGGGACAACACTATTCTAGGATAGGAAGAACAAACATGCGGTGTGTTTTTAACTTTATTTCCGGAAGAATAAAAATATGTTATATATACGCATATATCTGTGCGGCCTTGGCATGAGGCAATAATGCTAGCTTATTTATGTATGTTAGACCTATACCTTTTATCGTAGATTGTCCTAAGAGTGGACTATTTTTGAAGATGATGGGTCCAGGAAGCTTTGCGGGACCAAAACATATAATTCAGTATATAAGAGAAATATGCAGAGCCTTTGAAAACGTTATTTACAGATAGATGCTTCAGATCATGTATGTTTATCAAAGCATTATATGTACAATATATACATTGTTGTTGTCTACCAAATGTATGACCAGCAAGAAATGAAAGATAGAGTCTTCTTATAAATGCATCAACGCTTTCAGCAAGAACAACTGGGGAAGGAAGCTTATTCCAGTCTTCAATAACCCGGTGGGAGAAGAAGTTTGCCCGCACTTCTAGTTTGGCATGGTCTTTCTTCAGTTTGTATGGATGACCTCAGAGTAGTGTCGTCTGTGCGAATTTAAAGAAATCAGCCATCTGAAGAGCACAGTCTAATCCGCTGACGAGTTTGAATATCATGATCATACTTCCTCTGTATTGCCTATAATAGAGAGGAAAAAGACTGAGCCTATCTAGTCGACCTTCATATGGTAGACCACCTAAGCTGCTGACTTATTTGTTCGCCCTTTTTGAACTTTCTCCAGCACTGGGTAAACTTTCTTCATCCAGGGGCACCACGCCTGGACGCAATATTCTAACATCAGCCGAACAAATTTTCCGAAGACTTGCCCAAAACGTTCCTCATCAAAATAAAGGAAGGACCTTCTAATCGCTCCTAGGATGCCTATAGACTTGTTTGAGGTTTTAGCCCAGAGAATTGACAGTTTGAGGTTGGGCGTCATATACACACCCAGTCCCGTAGTTCGTTCACTTTCCCGAGTTGGTGAACTCCGATTAAGTTGTCATACTCAAATGGTATCAGCTTTTTGCGACCAGACCGTAGGCAGATGACTTGGCATTTGTCGAAATTGAGCTGAAGTAGTCACTTTTTAAAGCACTTTTGCAAACGATCCAACTCATTTTGTAAGGGCTGTCTATCCTCTGAACTTTCGATTGACTTCCAAATCTTTAGATAGTCTGCAAACATGACTTACTCGCAGGTGAGGCAATAAAGGCAGTCATTCACATATACCAGAAACAGAATG